GAGGTTGAGCAGCTGGTCCTGTGGTGTAGCCGCAACAACCTGGAGCTGAACACACTCAAAACAGTGGAGATGACAGTGGACTTCAGGAAGAGCCCTCCCACCTTACCCCCCTCACCATACTTGGCAGCACTGTATCAGCAGTAAAGTCCTACAAGTTCCTGGGCTCCACTATCTCCCAGGACCTGAAGTGGACATCCAACATCAGCACCATCACCAAGGAGGCACAGCAGAGGATGTACTTCCTGCACCAGCTCAGGAAGTTTGACCTGCCCCAGGAGCTGCTGATACAGTTATACAGAGGAATCATCGTGTCTGTTCTCTGCACCTCCATCACTGTCTGGTTTGGCTCAGCAACCAAACAGGACAAGTACAGACTTCAGCCGACAGTGAGGACTGCAGAAAAGGTCACTGGTGTGAGCCTGCCCTCCATGGAGGACCTGTACACCACACGGGTCAAAAGGAGGTCGGAGAGGATCACTGCAGACCCCTCACACCCTGGACACAACCTGTTTGAACTCCTGCCCTCTGGACGGCGCTACAGGTCACTGTGCACTAAGACAACCAGGCACAGGGACAGTTTCTTCCCCCAGGCTGTCGCTCTGATGAACACATAACCCACCACAGTATGATTGGACAATAACCCTCAGTGCAATACCTGTAAATATACACTGTTTGCACATTGAGAGCCGATGTACCTGAGTCAAATTCCTCGTGTGTCCTCCAACACACCTGGCCAATAAAGCTGATTCTGATTCTGATTCTGAAGAGCTGGGACAGGGGCAACAACAGACTGGGAAAGTTGAGGAATGCTCAAAAAACACCTGTTTGGAACATTCCGCAGGTGAACAGGTTTACTGGAAACAGGTGAGCATCATGATTGGGTATAAAAGGAGCATCCCAAAAGGCTCAGTCATTCATAAGAAAGGATGGAGTGTGGTTCACCACTTTGTGAACAATTGCGTGAGCAAATAGTCCAACAGTTTAAGAACAATGTTTCTCAATGTACAATTGCAGGGAGTTTAGGTATTTCATCATCTACAGTCCATAATATCATCAAAATATTCAGAGAATCTGGAGAAATCTCTGTATGTAAGTGGCAAGGCTGTAAACCAACACTGAATGCCCGTGACCTTCAATCCCTCAGGCGCCACTGCATTAAAAACAGACATCAAACTGTAAAGGATATCACCACATGGGCTCAGAAAGACTTTGGAAAATCATTTGTCAGTCAACATAGTTCGTCGCAACATCTACAAGTGCAAGTTAAAACTCTACCATGCAAAGAGAAAGCCATACATCAACAACACCCTTCTGGGTGTTGTTGATGTATGTTGTCTTATTTCAGCAAGACAATGCCAAGCCACATTCTGCAGGTGTTACAACAGCGTGGCTTCGTAGTAAAAGAGTGCAGCTACTAGACTGGCCTGCCTGCAGTCCAGACCTGTCTCCCATTGAAAATGTGTGGTGCATTATGAAGTGCAAAATACAACAACACAGACCGCAGACTGTTGCACAACTGAAGTCAAACATCAAGCAAGAATTGGAAAGAATTCCACCTACAAAGCTTCAACAATCAGTGTCTTCAGTTCCCAAACACCTAAGTGTTGTTAAAAGGAAAATTGATCTAACAGCAGTAAAAAATACCCGTCTATCGGTATGCAAATGTTTTTATAAATAAAGTATAATTTATCAGAGGATAATATAAACAGCACAGGTTAAACTTGAAAAGTATAGCACTAGCATTAAAAAGATAGTATTTGCTACCATACAAAGGAAACATGGGGTACATCCCAAGTCTCTTATAAGCATCAACATTTCCCTCACTCACGTCTTTTCCTTGTGAAAATGCAAGGACAGAGGAATCAAGAAAATGTGTTTTAACAGACATGCCAGGACTACGGAAAAAGACGCAAGTGAGGTCAACGAGGACCCATATGGGAGACTTGAGAAACATTCCTTTCTGCTGCCATCTTTCTTTGGGGTGGGGAAGTTTATCTAGCATAACAATATATTTTTTATTTAAATGGCTAGAACTAGTTCTCCTTATGATGTTTATTGGCAGTTTGCAAGCCAACTTAAGGTGCATTGTAGTGTTAGGTTATTTCTTAGTTAGATAGATATTGATTAGAGATCTGTTGTATTAGAAAATGTTAGTGTAGCCAGGATGTCTTGCTCAGGCTGTTAAATGCTCAGTTCATTGTCATGGAGAAAGGCTGCAGTCAAGGACAAATGTTATAACGGTAAAAGTGACCATAATATTTGTCTTAATGTGTAATGTTATGTCAAATTGTTTTAGATACACACCACGAAAACAACAGCCACACACATTATTTTCTTGTTGTTTCTATGTTTGGTCTACTGCTCTGCTCAGCTGCCAAGCTGGCATATTGGGTGACGTCACGGTTTGACGCCCTGCGTGGTATGGGCTAGCCCAGAAATGATTAATATTGTATAGCAATTCTTGGTTCGGGGTCTTT